ATTCGCGTCAAACTCACTGATACGCATGGTACAGGCACCACCAGCCGTCACCTTCGACCCAGCAGCCTGCTACATCATCACTGGTGGACTGAGCGGTCTGGGACGGTCTATTATCCAGTGGATGGGTGATCGTGGTGCACGAGAGCTCGTTATCTTGTCCCGCCGTGGTGGGAGCGCGCCCGAAGCGCAGACACTTGTGGACAGGCTCGCCGAATCTGGTATTCGTGTACATCCCGTTGCTTGCGATCTCGGTATTCGAGAGAGTGTCGCAAAAGCCGTTGAGTACGCATCCACCATTGGCGAACTCAAGGGCATCGTCCACTGCGCCGTTTCCTACCAAGATATCTCTTTCGACAAGGTGACAGCCCCTGGCTGGCAGGATGGCCTCGCCGCGAAAGTACTTGGCACGCGGAATCTACACGACACCACCAAACACTTGCCGTTGGAATTCTTCGTCATGACCACTTCCATCCTCTCGGTTCTGAGCTTCGCGACTCAGGCTGCGTACACGGCCGCCAACAACTTCCAGGACCAGTTCGCACGCTATCGCCGCCGTCTGGGTCTGCCTGCTACGGCTGCTCAATTCGGCCTTGTCAACGACGTTGGCCACCTAAGCACCGACACCACCACATTGGATTTGATGGCACGCAACAAAGTCCTGACTGAATCTGAAAGCTACTTCCTCCGCCTTCTCGAGCCAGCGTTTCTTCCCCCTTCCAATGTAACTGCCGCTGACCCCCTCGCCGCCGCTACCTACGTAACATACATGGATCCGGCACACATGCTCGCAAAAGAGCGCGACGACGCTGAGATGGGTATCCGAAGCGTCGCAACACCTCGCTGGCATGGCGACGCTCGCGTTTCCCATGTGATCCGTGCATTCGAAGATGCTTTGCGCCAGGAAGAGGGCGGTGCCGACTCTCCACAGAAGGACACTGCACGCTCATCCACAGCGCAGGTCCGCGACGCATTCGGTGCTGCTGTGCAAAAGGCTCGCAACGCTGCCCCTGGCTCAGATCAACTCGCGTGCCACGCGGAAACCCTCGCACTCGTCACATCAGCCATATCCAACGCGGTTGCGACTATGCTATTGCTTGATCCAACGACTGTGAATTGCGCGCGTGCTGTGTCGGACCATGGCGTCGATAGTTTGATTGCAGCCGAGTTACGAAATTGGTTCCACGTTGCGCTGGGGTACAAGGTTGGCATGGTGGATCTATTGGATTCGCGCACGAGTATTGCGGCGTTGGCGGAGCGGATAGTACACAGTGTGTAGAACGATTTCGAGTATAGAATGCCGTAGAGAATAGAAAAGAGTTGTGATCATCCTTCGTATTCTTGGCTTCTTCTACGCTACCACGCTAATGGGAGCTTGAATCGGCTAGCGCCGATCAGCCCCTGGTGTTCGCATGTGATATCCGATGCCCCAGGTTCCTGGAAACCGTCGTGCAAACATCGTGGGCACTTTGTTTTGTGGCGCCATGCCTCGTCTAATCACTGCTCGCAATGTGGTCATACTCGTCAATATCGTCCTGCTCACCGCCCTCTTCGTCCATCTGAAGTTCGCGCTCTGGGACAAGACGGCGGCCTCAGCTGGATCGGCCAAGTCGCACCTTCCCGACGAACTCTACGACGAGCAGCAGCCAGACGAGTCATCGCACAACCCGAAAGGGAAGCCGCTAAAAGCAAACGATGGCATCAAAGCGCGTCGGACCGCCTTTGTGGTCGCCAGCCAGAGTTCCGAGAACGCAACGTGGCTCGAGGAGTACTTTCCGCACTGGGAGAAGAATATCTACCATGTCGACGATCCGAGCGCGGAGCTCACGGTGCCGAAGAACAAGGGCCGAGAGAGCATGGTCTATCTGACGTACGTCCCCATCTATACTATCTTTCGTCCCATGTCCAGCATGCTAACGAAGAATACGCGCGCAGCTACATAATCGACCACTACGCGTCCCTCCCCGACAACGTCCTCTTTATCCACCCCAACCGCTACCAATGGCACAACGACGACCCGGACTACGACGGCCTCCCCATGCTGCGCCATTTCCAGCTGCCCTACCTCGAGAAAGAAGGCTACGTCAACATCCGCTGCGCCTGGTCCCTCGGCTGCCCCAACGAGATCAAGCCGCTGGCGGAAGCGGGCGAACACAGAGAGGCCGTGCATGCGGGCGGACAGTATAAGAAGGCCTTTGAGAGCCTGTTTCCGGGGGAGAAGGTGCCGGATGCTGTTGGGGTGAGCTGCTGTGCGCAGTTTGCGGCGACGAGGGACAAGATTAGGGAGAGGAGCAAGGAGCAGTATGAGAAGTATCGGGATTGGATTATGGGCACTGAACTGGGGGATGCTATTAGTGGAAGGGTGTTTGAGTACTCCTGGCACAGTAAGTCGACATCCGTTGGCATTTCGCGCCCTACCCCACGACCCCGCGCGTGATGAGGCTCTGCGCTTTTTGCTTCTTCGAGTGGCGTGGATCATGTGCTAACATGATTGATAGTGATTTTCGGTAAACCTCCGGTCCATTGCCCAACTGCAAAAGAGTGCTACTGCAAGACCTTCGGCCTATGCGATTTGGAATGTCCGGATGCGGGAAGCTGTAAAGGCCGCTATACTTTGCCGCCCTACTCGAGTCTACCAAAAGGCTGGCCATACATCGGATGGGAAGGTCAAGAACGCCAACGCGCTGGCCCAGAGCAATGATGAGTGCTCGTGGCTTATCTCTGAGCTATTGTGATCCAGTTGCTCTGGAGGACGAACATCCACGCCTACAGACTGGACCCCGCTGCGTCGCTTCACTATTCCACTTCCGTTTCAATGGGCCGATTGATTGCCTAGCTCGATGCGACGAAGCACATGAGCAATCGCGACGATCAGTCATGCGCGGCTGTACACGTTGCTACGTGCCACGAGGTTCGGAGCCCATTAGTCGGGCGCTCTAAGAGCTGGTGAAGCCATACAATTTCGAGAGGTGCAACAATCTCTATGGACTGACGCGATTTCCCAGCACCGTTTGGACGCGGTCGAAACAACGAGGCACACATCCCTTCGTCGGTATGGGGCCCAACTAGCTGCAAGGACGGCCACTCAAACCTCATTCGAGTAGTCCCCTCGCCATCGGTTCCCGCAATCAGGTTTTCAGTTTCTTCTGCGCCAACCTAGAAGGGCACAATACATCGCGAGGATCGATCACATGGGGAATCGCGTGTAGTTTCTGCCCCATGGCGTACTACGTAGCCCACTATCGGTTAGGTCCATTGGTAGTCTCCTGGATGCCCGGGCTATAACGCACAACGTCTTGTGGAACGGTCCCAACAAATCGCAGATAGCCTCGTATAGTCCCGCTTCCCCGATACTTCCGCATCATGCTCGAGCAGGGCCAAGGGCAATCAACATGCATCAAGTCTACATGCCCGAGCCTGTGCCTCAGCATGCATCATTGCGGCACTGGACGTGTAGGGAGTGGTCTCGACCTGTTTTAGAATTAGCCTGGCGGTTGAAGTACTCCAGTTGGATCCTTGAAGGCTCGATGGCAAGGCTGAGCACTTCTCAAGGCGTACATTGATGCGCACGGCATGATAGGGGCCGAAACTTCCCAGCGATGTTGAAGCAACCTTGCAAAGCACATCGACCCGTCAGCTGGTCATCTAGCACCGAGGGGTAGACTCTTAGTTCGCAATTGTGCGGGGTGCCTCCGAGGCTGAGACTACAAGAAAGAGCAAGGTTGTGTGGGTCCGTATACTTGCGCAGAGCCGCACGCTTACGTCAAGCGAAGCTCTACCTATGCGGCTCACTTGGCACAACCCCATCAGCCCGACCCTTATGGCACACAACATATTCGTATTCCAAACGCATGCAACACGGCAAATGATCCTTCCTCATCGGTATGAGTGTAACACATCGTGGCCCCATTCGACCCCGCGCAATATTTATCGGGCCTTCATAGCTTCGGATTTCTCAGCCTGACGAGCCGCAAACGGGAAGAGCAACCAGGGCTTACGCGAAACGTAAGGTTGCTGGCGCTATTACATGAATTAGACTATATCCTAGCGAGGAAATGCGCCCTAGTAACATGCGGCTCTGCGCATGTGGGAGCATTCAAAGCCCGTGCTCTCTGCACATCCAGCGACCGGTACTCCACAGCTGATTTACGCCACCTATCGTTAGCTTGAACCCTTTTTCTTGTCGAGATCTCAAGATCTTGCTTCTTCTTAGCCAATCACTCGTATGGGAATTCGCTCGCGTGCCCTATTTGCCTTATCTCTATACATCTCTATCTCGTTCTATGACGACTTCCCTTGATCGGCTACCTTTTGATCTACTCTTCTGTATCACCTTCGATTTGAATCTCGAGGATATTGTTCATCTCAGCCAAACATGTCGACACTTAAGAGCCGTACTAGACGAAAGGACAGTTGTCAGGCGTGCTGTCGAGGTCAGATGACGCCAAACGGTCAATCTGCTTACGCCAAAGGCTGACGCTGCTTATAGATCAACTATCCCCACACCCAGGAAGCGTCTTTAGCCCGGACAGAGAAGATTACCTACAAGCAAGCCTTTCAGGCTATTTATGAAAGAAGACATGCTTTGTCAACTGCGCACCCGTTTTCGGCTCGCGTTCTGGGCCAAGGAAATAACTTTTTGTATCGACAGGGAACTATATGTATTTTCGACGCTGGGGTGGTCCACGTCACGGGTCTCAATTCGCAAGCAGAAGCTATTCGTCTCGATCTCCAAGCTATCATTCGCCCTATCTTGGAGTCGAAGTTCAGAGCTTTTGGTGATATCAGCGTACGCTTACTTTACTATGCTGATCGGATCCTCTCTGTGCATGCTATACCAAAGTACAACTCGGATGACAGCCATATATTCGCCATCAACACGGCTGCGAACCTTGCGGATGGACAAAGAGTGATCGAATCGGTGCGACTAAGCGAATGCTCTAAGCTTTTTGTTAGACATAATGAGCATTATTTATACTACGGCACACATACTGGAATCGGCGATGACGGTCATCACAAATGGGAGATTGAGGGCATCTCACTTCATAGAGACTTTCGGATAACCGAACGCGAAAGACCAGTACTGCTCGATAAGTTTCACGGATCTGATATCGGCTCCACCATCGCGTTCGAAATCCACAACAACTACTTTTACGCTGTCTCTAACCAGGGCACCTTTGAAGTTGAGGAGATCGATTATACTTCTTTCTACCATGTGGTCCGTTTTCCGCTGGACAAACCAGATGACGTTCAGAAAGACGAGCGCCTCTTTCGTCGACAGCACAAGCAAGGACCAATCCACGACTCATGGACCGATCTTGCACTACAGCTTGATGAGCGTACAAACGAGACGGTGATTGTGGAGTCGCGTCGAGAATGGGCTCAAGCATCTTCTCGCCAGTCGCGCACCTTCTACGTCACTAAGATGGACTTTCAAGAAGAGGACGACACCGAGGAACTATCGGATGAACTACTTGGGCCTGAGGATGATCTCTTCCTCCCGCTCATAGATTCATCGAATAACCCCCAATGGAAACCAACACCCGATCTCTACAGCTGGAGCCAACACCCCGAGTTCTCCCCAACAGATCCTTCACCCCGTTCCTTCACCCTATCCCGAACAAAATTCCGAGCCTACAGCTACCCGTGCACCTCCTTCGTCGATCTAGTCGAAGACGACCGCTGCTGCAACAACAACCCCTCGCAAGCACCATGCCTCAGACTGCGAATAGGATCACGCCGCGAACTAGGCCTCTCCTTCACTTCCACTCACAACCGCACCATCAACAGCAAAGGAAAAGCCCCCATCGACGACACCAGGCCCTCTTTTGTGGACACGCAAACACTCTACCGCCAGTCGCCCGTCCGCATGTGGCCTCCTTCCTCGTCGCGTTGCGCCTGCTCAGCTCGCCTGCACAGCATACTCAACCCAACACTCTCCACCACTAACACAACTTCCTCCACCACACGAAGCGTGACCGGCGTCCTCGACTCCCAACGCCTAGTCTTCATGATCAAACCAGGGCGCTCTTACGGCTCCAACGAAGACAACACATCGGGCAGCATCGTGGTCATAGATTTCTCCCGTCCGGTCACATCTGCGAACCCGGCACCCTCAGCATCAAGCTCATCGTCACTAGCACTGCGGCCATCGTCGCTGGCACGCTGCGATAGTAAGATGGGCGATGAGTTGGTGACGCCAAAGAGGTGTGTTGACCCGTTGGTCTGGCATTGGTCGGATGATTCAAAGGGGCGCTGCAGGCGAGGCACGTGTCAGTGAGTGGTTGGGGAGCGGGTTGCCGTGGCCTTTTGCAATAGGTTACGAGCAGCAAGCAAAAGGTCATGAGTGAAAGAGTGAGGCGGACGATAGAGAGGGAAGCACGCAGTTCGGTGCAGAGGTGTTGAGCCTCACAGTAGGCAAATGGTGCGCAGACCAGGCTTGTATCGGTTTACTCGGGGTTTCGATTATGGTTTTTTGCCTTGCTGCACGTTCTTATACGATGCAGGTTATATTTATTGCATATGCACGCCCTTTCCTTCATGTTCGGGCTCATATGGGGTGGTTCCGGTGAAGGACCCCGCACGAGGCTGCGCGGAGGAGATAAGGGTTGCGAGCACGCCATCGTTTCTTACTATTTAAAAGTCTGTTGTTCGTCCTTCTTATTTATCGCAATACTCATATCTTTGCTTGAATTTGTTACTTTGATGTGGTATTGTAGTGCGTGTTTGAATGATACATGATGGTCAAGTGAGCATTGATTATGTCCAGAAGCGCTCGGTAGGAAACCCACAGCACATCAGTTGACCCATCGAAGAACACTTTTGAGAGTAAAGTTTGTCACGTACGTTGATACGTATTAATCTCCGTACTTCTTGTACGATATATCCCAAAGGTCGCAAGGCTTAGCAAAACGTTTACCATCAAAGCTGTAAGGCCAGACGCTGATGCAAATCCCCCTTCCAGGCGCAAACTCACAAGCAATGTAGCCTTCCTGTGTGAGCATAGCAGGAGCGAAGCGCGACAATCGATAACGCATACGGTGATGGACAAAGTGTCTTGATTGGTTTATACTATATGCCGCATCCGCATGCGTAGTCCATCTAAAAAGAAATGCTGCCAATGCCCAAAGCGCTCGTTTGCTATTAAGTCTAGACTCCAGGATCGCGACATGTGAAAGGGGAAAAATAAATGATGAAAAAAGTGACGGTGTGATGTTTGTTTCGCCGTGGAACTCCAAGCTATGAGATAGATGATGTATGGGGGAGCTCGGTTTCTCCAAGATGTGCCTAGGCAACGACACAAAAGGTAGCCACTGTATGTTGACAGCACAAAATACAGTGGATTACTCAACGTGCCAGATACCCAAAGTACAACTGTCAAGATACGAGCTCCGTGGTAGGAAAAGGTGCAAAGTGGACAGAACAGCCTAGTCGGTCCGATAGTGGGGAAGTATGTACAATCGAAATGAAGTAGCCGCGGTAGAAATATCGGGCAGTATAGTCGGTAAACGCAGCGGTAACGCGCTTCGTCACCGCAGACTCGAACGAAAGGTATGGCGAAGAATGTTTCCGGTGAGAATGGTGGAGTGATGACCTCGCGAAGTTTGAAGACTTTGATGGATGGACCCACTCCGTTGGAAGCATGCACATGTAAGGTAGACCGCTCACGGCCGACTTTGACCGGCAAAATGTTTTCGCGGTGTGCATGGTCTTGTCGCGGTGGTGTTTGTCGTGTTACGACGGATGTGTAGCCAAGTCGTATGGAAACTATAGTTCCATTCCGTCGAGATCTCGCATAACACACGCCATCTGTGCCCGTTTCGCAGCCTCAGCAAGCAGCGCAGCCTGGTTGAGGTAGTTTGTAGTCTCAGCAGCCGTTTGGCCGGCTCCTGACCTGTTCGGTTGGTACTCGAAGCTGTTCTGCCGTTGTGCCTGCATGCGAGGCTGCTGCTGCAACTGTTGCGACTGCTGGTTCAAGGAGCCAAAGTACTGGTGGTTCTGAGGGCTCGTGGACGGCGAGACGGGCGGTGCAGATTGCGTCGAGGAGCGTGAGGAGGCGTGGCTTGAGGCGGAGGTGCTGGTGTAGCTTGCGGCTGGGGTGCTGGAGGACTGGAGGGCAGAGAAGGCGGGTCGGCTGGGGGCGCCGTAGTGTTGTTGCGAGTAGTTGGACATGGCTGCGGGAATGGCTGGTAGGGTCGTGGTGGAGTCTTTGAAGTCTCGATGAAGGCGAGGAGGGAGCAGAGGAGTGGAAAGGGTGTACACAGTGGGTGAGGCGAGGGTATGGGTAAAGTAAATATGGACCCGTGGTAGCTCGATATTACCCTGTATTGGCGATCTTCTGCGCGTCACCCGGAACAATCCCAGCGAATTCGTCTAGACGTGTGCAATAAAGGCTGAAGTCGGGACAAGGTGAGGCAAAGCAGGATACAGGCAAAAGGAAGGTGGAATCGCCTGCAAGATAGGCACCACAATCCATGGCTTTACTTGGACCGCGGCTCGGGGACTGCTAGCTCGTGAATTTCGTCACAGGCCAATCTGATCTGCCGACGCTTGCCATCGCATCGAGACGCCAGGTCTCTTTAGTTTTACGCGGATTACCTCTTGCAGGCAAAGCATTGCTCGCCCTACTCGCATCATGCCCGTAAGTCCTCGTTGAACCTTCCCCAGACTCGCCTACTGACCAGGGCAGCTCGTTTTAATTTCAGGTTCCACCTTCCCCTCCATGTTTTTCCCCCCGCCATTGAGCTAACCCACCCCCGAAGGCTTCCCTTCCGCGGGCAAGACGACCAGAGCCCTCCAGCTAAAAGACTACTTCGAGGCCAAGATCGCCAGTTCGCCTCCTGATGCGCGCACTTCCCGCCTAAAAGTCCATCTCATCAACGACCAGTCGCTGGGCGTGTCGCGCGCCGTCTACCATACCGCCAAAGCCGAGAAGGATGCACGTGCGGAAGAATATTCCGCCGTCAAGAGAGTCTTGTCGCGCGATGACATCGTTATCGCCGATGGCTTAAACTACATCAAGGGCTTCCGCTACCAGCTGTACTGCGAAGCCAAGGCTCTACAGACTCCAAGCTGCGTTGTCAGTATACCGTGTGCGCAGAGGGAATGCACGACTGACAGTCCTAGAGCTGCACATAGGCACGCCCGCCGAACGATGTCGCGAGAATAACAAGAAGCTCTTGGCGGATAAAGAGGTCGATGGCGGCTATGAGGAGGAAGATTTTGAGAACCTCATCTTCCGGTACGAGGAGCCCAATGGTATGACGCGATGGGACAGTCCGCTGTTCATCGTCGTCGAGGAGGACGAGAAGCCGCCGTGCGACCAGATATGGGACACCATAGTCAGCAGCGATGGCAAGATGAAGACTGTCAAGCCGAACCTTGCGACCGTGCTGGTGCGTACTCCAGTTCTTCTAATGTGTTGAGATGCCTCTAACACACAGCAGAAACCAGCGACAGAGCAGAACTACCTCTACGAGCTCGACAAGACGACTTCCGATATCCTCGCCCAGATAATGGTGTACCAGAAAGACCACCCTGGTGAAGGAGGTGGAGAGATAGCCGTTGCCGATGTCGAGAAGCCCATCGAGCTCCCTGCGACGCCAATGACCCTCCCGCAACTCCAGCGGATTCGCCGCCAATTCATCACCCTGAATCGTCAACACAGCTTCTCCAAAGCACGCATAAAGGAGGTCTTTGTCGACTACCTCAACGCCGAGTTCCTGCGTTAGACTGGCGATGTCGGAGCTATGTGGAGCAATGTGTCTTCGGATATGCTTTCATGCATCGCGACAAGGGAACGTCAAGAGACGAACGGAGAGACTGGATGTCGACAGCTCAGCGGATACCAAGATGTGGGCACAGTTTTCGAACGTTCTCCCAGCGACGACGCAAGCCACCTCTCCGAATTCTCCCGACCATACGATACCCCTCAACACCAGCTGTACGCCATAACCACGTTCGCAACGATGATTGGCATCCCAGTCCCTGCACTTGCAATAACATGGTGTGATGCAGTCTACCCACCCCGCATTTCCAACGCCCACGCGCTACCTGCTACAAAGGGCCGACCCATCACCAACATCAATCAGGAATAAGGATCAAGCCTGTCGGACCTGTCAATAGCAAAGGACGGAAACTTTCTCAATCTCTTTTTGTGATTGGCTACAATACCCGATTAGCTCCAACCCCTCCATACGAATGTAGAGTATGTACATCATGGGAAACAGATCGCGATGTATGACGTGTGCGTAGACTCCGATCAGGAAAGCCAGCCAAGGACCTTCCCGTCGATCATGACGCTGTGCATCGTGATGTCTTGCCCAAAACTGTTTTCTAGATTATTGGGTGAGAAACAATCCAACTGAGCTGAGCTGATTCCATGCAGGCGCCCCATTACGTGCTATATACTCAAAGTCATCTCTTACATCCATCCATCCCTAGCGCTACGCCACACACATCTGCCCCAACTGCCGTATCATCTCAGGTTATTCTCCAGGTGCCAAAGCCATGGCGTTAATAGGCGTCTGTCTCAAGCACACACCGATTACGCAGTATGCCTCCGATCGCGAAACCCTTGCATCGTCATCCCCACAACTCCACTTTCCCAAGCAAAACAATGCAAGTCAACGCAAGGGCCAAAGTGGAAAGCTGACGCTGGAATGGGCTGAGGCTGACAACCCCCCCGCATATTTCTCCACGTGCGAACCATGTGGGTCGTGCAGTGGGCTAGCTGGGGTGCGGGGTGTGTAGGCGTGGTAGGTAAGGGTGTTGTGTCGTGGTAGTGGGAGGGTGTGTGGCTGGAGACGCACGCGAGGGGAGAGGTAGGACTTCCTTTCATCCGGCGAGGTGCATGCTGGGGGGCGGGAATTGCCGATAATCGGAGGTTTGGGGGAGACGGTGATGTACGAAGAATGAGATTATAGGCTCACGGCGGTGTGGACAACTGGACGAGAGTAGATTAAAGAATCAGTCAAGTGTGGTAAGGTGGAAATGTTGAATTAAATTAACCAAGAAGACTATGTACGAAGATTTCCATGGAAAAGAGAAAAGTAGCTCCTCCCTCCATCCCAATTCGCATCGTGACTCTCTTTCGCTCAGGCCAGAAGCGTGGTATCTCAAAAGCAGCAAAAGCTCAACCAGACCCGTGTCGTCAAAAGGTGAAGAACCCTCAAACCTATGCGCCAGACACCCATTCTCCGTTTGTACAACCCATCATAATCATCGTGATATCATCAACACTACCACCACGTTTACAGCCCACAGTAAGTAGCATCCAAG